GACAACTTTGTTCCTGTATTGTGGTTGGGCATTCTGCTAATTTTGGGCATAACTGAACTGCATTAAAAAAAAAAAAAAAAAGAAAAGCCACAAACAAAACAGAAAAATCCCCTCGCCTTTATTATTGTGAACACTCTCGGTTTAAATGTGCTCAGCAAACACATGGTCTCCATGTGCAGGGTGTGTTCTGCCTCCTCACAGCCCCAGGGGCTGATCAGCACTGAAAGCAGAGGCTGTTCCTCCTCCGCTCTCTCTGCTTCTCCTGGTAGCATCCAGGCACTGGGGAAGGGAGCGGTGAAGGATGCAGGAATGTGATGAACAGTAGGTAGGAAAGAAATGAAGTACAAGGAAGGAGAACAAGGGGTGAGAGAGCAGAAGAGGAGGACCTGTAAAAGGAGAAAGGATCAGCAACAAAATGGAAGCAGTGTGGAAAAAGAAGTTATAGCCGGAGAAGAGCAAGGATAAAAGCTTGCTAGGAGCTGAAAAGGAAGTATTGTTGAAAAAAAGTGGCTGGAAGTAGCTTGAAAAGATGGAGGCAATGAGGACAGCAGATAGGAAGGATTTGAAATGAATGAGATGGAAAGCAAAAGGGTCTATAACTGTCAGGACACTAAGATAAGCTGGACTTGTATGCACTATTTCTAAATCATCACGTTGCTTTCTTGTCAAGCAAATATCATCAGTGAGATTCTCTGGCAAGGTGGATATTTTCATTCATCTTATGCAGTAGATCTGTGTAGCACATGTGTCTTCTACACTTACAAATTGCTACTTGCTTATAGTCACCTACTTGGATGATTCACCTTGCTAATGTTTGATAGGGGAGGACTGGCCAATGATTCTCCAGGAATATTTTCTTCCATATATGAAAGCGTGAAAAATTACAGGAAACTGCATACAAAAATTGTAATAATGCTGCAAAGTGAAGTACTTGGACTATAATTAAGGCTGGCTGTTCTACATTAGTTAAACTATTTAACTGTTATGATACCCCTATCAATTTTTCATGTAGTCATGGGCTGTTTTTTCCCCTAAAAGAGCTGTGTTCTCTTTAGGATGGACCTTGCTCTGCCAACATCTTGGTATGGTATGGTTCATGAAGTGAAGGAAGCTCTTGTTGGTATGTTATTTTCTCCTCACATGCCTCATTTGTTGCAAAAATCTGAAGATGTTTGGAAAATGATGCAAGATGCTGAAGGATAGTATTTTGATGTTGCTACTGAATGGCGTCGGAAGAAGTGACTATGGCTCTATTACATAGCTCCCACATGCAGTGGGAGGATCCATATCAGACTTTGTAATGTGATCACTAGTTGTGTTGGCTTTGCTTTCATACAGAATGTAGCATTAGGAAACTCAACTGTACCCTGGAGATCAGGCAGTAAGTATTTTAAAATGGCACCTAGATACTTGTGCTTTTTTGTATCTTATACATATACCTTAATTCCATGTATAAGATGGGGATAATAATACTATTTACCTTATAGAAGTGTTAGGGAAATCTTCATTTTTGCTTTTTCTTTGAATTCTTCACAGCCTACAGTAGCACTGTTGTGGAAATGAATTGCACTGTGTTGAGCGTAGACTTCAAATGATGTGCAGTGAATTGTGTATGTGGCCACAGATAAAATGAAGATGGCTTCTAAGAATAATTTTTTGGCTTCCAGTGCTTACCGTGTCTAACTCCGTATAAATTGCTACAATTACAGAAAATGTGTTGCTTAGCAAATGTCTGTTATCCACGTAGTATATCTGGGATTAAGTAACTGGTCAGGTCAAAAAGTTGAGGTGGTGCCTGTTACTGAAATGCAACTATTAATATAGATCATAGTAAGTAATTCAGAAAATAGTAGATGTAGTTCCCACAGGATACAACAGAATACAGTGGGTACAGATGTTACGTTTCAACCTGAGCTTGTAACCAATCACTTCAGAATGAATTGCCTGTAGTGATCAAATGATACTAGTTATTACCATGTGTGTGTATATATATATATGTACAATTACATGTTTATAAAACTGTATACATGTATGTAGTGTAGTTAGCCATGAACTGCAGTACAGTCAGGATTTAAATGAGAATTTAAATTACATTACAGTGAGAATTTAAATGTGAATTATGAGGACTTCTACAGATTTTCTTTTTTAGTGGCATACTTATTTTAAATAATGAAATAAATGATTTTGACGCTGTGTAGTGCCTCTGAAATAGTTTTTGCCATCTCTTCTAACAGGTGTCTTGAAGTGCTTCGCAAATATCGATTAACTCAACTTCATACCTGAAACTAAAAAAAGGAAGCGAAAAGAATGTATTTCTTTCTGTTCTCTAGATGGAAAAAAGAGTAAAGGTAGCTTTTTTTCCAAAAAGCTTAGGAGGCAGCCTTTTGAAAGTGACTGTAAATACCGAGTTCTTTCAGTTATTGTGGAATAGCACCAGACAAAAAGTATCTCAAAATAAGTACTCAGAAGTCAAAGCACTCGAAAGTGCCACTTGTTCCAAAAGGCAGTGGTCTTAATTTGCTTGCTCAAGGTTATACTGGATGTTTGGGACCAAGATAGGTGTGGAAATGCAGTCTTGTGTCTCTGTGGCTTTTGCTGTAACTCCTGACCAGAGTCTTGTGAGGTGGTAGCCCATTGAACAGCTGTGCTTTTGGAAAAAAAATGAAAATTTTGGTTTGAGAATCTAAATTACTTCCAGTGGGTATTGCAGTGTAGAAAATAATATCTGTTTGTCTCCAAAGTTCCTGAATACATATGCTGGTATAGTCCTCAGGAATGCTAACATTTTCTTGTTAGAAGCGGTGTCACCGTTGTCTTATCAGATGACCAGATGTTTGTTTTTGTGGTTGGTTCTTGCCTGCACAGCTCTTCATCCTCTAACAATGATTTCACTGTGTCACGTTGTTTGATGTGAAATGCATGAAATGTGTCTAGGTTATGTTGAGTGAGATTTGCTAAAGGACTTGGAATTTTGTTTGGGCAGAAGAGCTTTAAGCATTGACAGAAAAACATTTTACCTTTTTTAATCAAATCATCTTCCAATTCTATTTATGGATCTTTTTGCACATAATGTGACTTAAGCCTCTGTTTTCCTCCTCCCTTCCAAAAGTTACTCAGATGTGTATATGTGTGAATTGCAGTTAAGAAATATTGGACTCCCTTTGACTATTCCAAAACTGGCTTATTCCATTTATATTTTGGGGGATGTCTTATTTCTTAAAATCAAGTTTTATTTTGGGGCAGTCCCGACTAGTTTAGAACCAGTTTAGAATACGTTTCTAGAGTCATGAATGCAACACTTTAAAAATACTGATTACCACTAAAGGTAAATGTTTCATAAAATTACTGTGTTGTGGCAAGGCAGAATATTAAGAATAGCTGAATGTCCGAGTCTGCATCTCTTATATTCTTAATAACAGATGGCTGAAGGGTAAAAATACTTTTCCTAGTGCAGTGCCATTTTAGTTTTCATGCTCTGCAGTTTCACTTCTGGAAATATATTTGGATGAGATTAGAGGGGAAGAATGCGTATGTCTCAAAGTGCTACATATACTCTAGTAAAAGACATTGAGACGAGCATTCAACTCATGCAACTTACCATACCTTTATTCAAGTCAGTGGAGCTAGAGGTTGAAGTTGCAGAAGCTGAAGATCTGCCCCAGTAGGCTTTAGTTATTTAGAGATGTTTAAGTCTGTGGATTCGCATTCTGGGCCTCATATGTACAATATAGGACAAAGCAATGACTTTCAGAGCTTTAATGAGACATTGAAATATCTTTTTCAGGTATGGTATTTTTTTCTTCATGCATTTGAGTTAGGTGAGTCTTTAGATAACCAAAATGTTTATACAGCAGATGTCTTGACCTTAACTCATTAAAAACAAATCAATTTTGTTGCTGTTTCTGTTTTTCTGATTTATACAAATATTCACACAATTTTTTTTTTGGTGTCAGTTCAATCTGAAGTATAACGTACAAGTCTTTTGATTGTTGTGGAAATTTCTGAAACCTGAATTTTATCCACAACATGACGGTTTTACTGTAACAGATATTTCTGGAGAGAAGATGACAATGTACTCATATTGCCATTTTTCTTTTTTCTTCTGTTTTCCTTTCTTCTTTTTGGACTTTTGGTGAGTTGATTATGCAAACAGCCACAGGCCTGTCCCCATCTATTGATTTTGGATTTTGCTTATATATATTTTGCTGGACTTCTCTACAGAACATTACCTGTGGGGAAAAAAGAAATAATTATCTTGGATTATGGTCGTATTTCTTAATGAGAAGTTCATGTTGTGTTACAGCTGCTTCTGAAGCTTAAAAACTACAGGTCTTGTGTAGAATCCAGGCATGAAAACTTGCATATATGTGTGTATATTTACAGGAAAAAAGTTTTTTGTTTGGTTGAGTTTTTTTCTGTGATGAGCTGAATTCCTAAAGTATTCTAGTTTCATATTTGCTTTAAGAGTAGATGTATAATGAATTCAGGAACAAATTTATAATGAGATATATTTTTGCTAGTGCAATTTTGTTATTTTTGTGATTTAAATAGGCTAAGGAAAATAGTGATCTAAAGGATAGGAATTCTCTTAGTTTGTAGAAAGAAAAGTACCATCACTTCAATGTTATTCTTTTTTTTTTTTTGACATTCTACTAGTTTAGTGTTCTGCCAGAGCTCTTGATTATTTTTAAATAGTTATGAACTGCTTGCAGGTTACCAAATAGCCCAAATTATTACTCAGTGATTTAGATTTAGAACGGTATTTTCGAAGGAACTAAAGGATAACTAAATGGGAACTTCCTAAATCATTTGCACTCTGAGAACCACTCCTCAATCCCATTCTTTTCTTATTCCAGTAAAACTCCCCTGCAAGCCAAAGAAAACCAAGTTTTATCTGAGTCAAGATTTACAGATGTTGATGATTAGGTTCCATTCATCACTAAGATCTTTAAAATAGCTTTTATTTATAGATGTTTTCCATCTTCATTTTGCTTTTCCAGTTCTCCACAAGCAGCCAAGAGAAGTGTGCCTTTGTTTGCTGGAACTTGGAAGGATTGCAGCAAGGTAGGTGAAAATATTTAAAGAATGAAGAAACATTTACATTCTTGACAGCAGTGGCTGTTGAGAGACTTACTAAATCAGCCCATGTCAAGCTAACTTTTATGCTCATTAGGTTCAAGGAGAATGCTTGTCTTGATGCCACTCAAGAATATCTTGTGGGCAGTTGTTAACAAATATAATAAAATCTCTGTACCATCACCTCAATGAAGGTATTTGTTGGCTATCCTCGTATTAGGAGGGGGAAGAGTTGAGAATTTTGTTCTAAATAAAGCTTTGAGCTGTTTCTCCTTCTAACAGTCAGATCTCTCTATAAATAACTGAGATTTCATTAACTTTACTGGTAATAAATTGATCTTCACATGACATAAATCTGACCTAAGCAACACTAACTCTTATTTATTTAAATAAATTTAGCTCTGATTTTCACCAACAGATGCAATACGAGAATTGAGTTAACAGTGTGTGTTCTGTCTCTGTGAGATGATTCCAGTCAGGCTGGACCCTCAGTACATTGTAGCATTATCTCTGATGTCAAGACAATGGTGACTTTTGCTAGACAATCAAAATGACAGTAATTAGAATGCGATTCTTCCCTTTTTGCAAATGCAGAATTAACCAACATAGAGCGTAAGATTTGTTACAAAATATATGAACAACAGTGCTGCTGCCCAGTCTTGCATGTAAATTGCAGTTGCATTCATCCATGTGTATCAAATTGGAGTGTCTTGGTATTCAAATAGTTTCATTAATTTCAGAAGAATTCCTTGTGGTTACAATCAGTGTGAAGGAGACCTGTGTTTATTCCTAGCTTAAGAACTAGTATTTTCATGTTATAATTGCGTTATGGGTATTCATATTTTGTGAATGCAACTCACTTGGGAAACTGCTTAATTAGAAATTTGTCTCTTGTTCAAGTTTCAGAAAAGCCCTCACTGTCAGTGGAAGCTTGTGTAGGAATAGTGTTGGCCAGAAAAAGAGTTGATTTCCAGTTTGCAGGAATTTTCTTATCTCTAAAACTTGGATTCAGTCCAACATGGTCGAAAAAAAAAAAATTAATTTAACTTTCCATGAATAAGAAAGTATTCTGATCTGTAGGTGCTCAATGAAATCGATTTTCGCAAATCTTAATTTACCTGAGCAAACAAACTGTGCTTTCAAGATCCCCAGCTTGGAGATAGACCTTCTGGCATCCAAAGACCCTACACCCAGGGCATACCTGTCAGGAACATCTGCCCCAGGTTGATTACTTGTTAGTATCCAGCTTCCTCAGGGAATGCAGGTCAGTGGTTAGTCAGTGCTGGATTCTGCTAAAGTTGGTTGAGTTAGATTAATCTCATTTTGCAATGAGATTTGATTGCTCAACAGATCTACATAGGAATTAAGATAGAATCTTACCCTTCATATTTGTCTTTTGTCTTAAGCTTCCATGTCTCAGATGTTCTGCTCCAGGCATGAAAACAAATACTGAACCAATAAATGAACCATGTTTTCATTTATTAATGCATATCTATCCCTTTGCCTTTAAAATATTTTTATTTTATTTTTTAT